CCTCTGCCCTTGGGGATTTGTCATCCATGGGAGCAGAGCGTTGCGCACCATCCCACCGAGGTGTCCCCATGCTGACAGCCCGCTGTCCCCACCCTGCCCTGGGGTGAAGCGGGGTAGGGAGTGTGGGGACACACACACAGAGTGTTCCCCCCCACTTTTATCTGGGACACTGACACACCCCGTCAGGCGCACGCAGCCGCCTGTGCACACCCACAGTGACACACGTATGGCCATACCCCTCCCCACCCACACCCTGGTCCCTGGGGGTGGCACCCCCATCCCCACCCCGAGGTGCCCCCATGGCACGTGGCCACTCCAGGCGTGAGCTGCAGGAACCAGGAGGAGAAGCTGCTCCAGGACCTCATGAGCAACTATAACCGGGACCTGCGTCCAGCCCTGCGTGGGGACCAGATCCTCGATGTCACCCTCAAGCTCACCCTCACCAACCTCATCTCCTTGGTGAGACCCCCCACCCTCATTCCCACAGCAGAGTGGGATTTGTGCCCACAGGTCGGGCAGAGGTAGGCAGGGTGCTAAAGCCATCTCCCCTCTTCCTTCCTTGCCAGAATGAGCGGGAGGAGACCCTCACCACCAACGTCTGGATTGAGATGGTGAGACCCCACACCTCCAGGCTGGAACCCCCCACTTGGGCCACTCAGGGCGGTACCCCATGGAGGGCTGGCACTGCAACCTGCACCCCCTTTGTGGATGTCCTAAATTGAGCCCATTTTGGGGGCAGCACAGGACAAGTAGTTCATGAGCTCCCCCACCTCAGGGAGCACTGTGACCCTCTTCTCTTTGCTCCCCTTCCCACAGCAATGGTCTGATTATCGTCTGCGGTGGGACCCCGAAAAATACGACAACATCCAGCAGCTGCGAGTACCCTCTACCATGGTCTGGCTGCCTGACATCGTCCTGGAGAACAAGGAGGGGATGGGGCAATGGGGACATTTCCCTGCACAGGGGGTGGCAGCTCTCTCCCAGGCGTGGTTTGGGGCTGAGCCCACCCTTTCCCCCTGCCTAGCATCGACGGGACATTTGAAATCACTCTCTACACCAACGTGCTGGTGTCCCCCGATGGCAGTGTTTACTGGCTGCCCCCCGCTATCTACCGCAGCGCCTGCGTCATCCACGTCACCTATTTCCCCTTCGACTGGCAGAACTGCACCATGGTCTTCCAGTGAGTGCTGGCCGGGCACCCTGGCAGGTCGTCCTGGCACACAAGGGGTTGGCATAGGATGTCCACCTTTGTCCCGGGGCAATGAGCCCCCCAGGCAGATAAGTGCCACCTACCTGAGCTCTGCCACCCTATCAGTGGCAGGAGGCACCTTGGCCAAGTCAAGGACCCCAAAGGAGAGCTGGAGGTGGCCGGAGTCACCCGCTGCCACACTGGCACCCTTTGCCCATCCAGCCCACTGTGTGTCAGCCTGTGCCAACCCCCCTTATCCCTCCCCAGGTCTCAGACATACAGTGCCAATGAAATCAACCTGCTGCTGACGGTGGAGGAAGGCCAGACCGTGGAGTGGATCTTCATTGACCCCGAGGCTTTCACAGGTAACACCACGGCTGCCCTGGTGGCACAAGAGCATCCCACCACAAGGGACACGCAACAGGCCTGGTGCTACACCGGTGGCTGCCAAAAGCAGGGCTGCGGGGGCTATTAGCAGCTCCCTCCATTACACGGACACTTAAGTTATTAGTGGAAGCGGGAGTGTGGGAGAGATTTGTTTTTCTAACCCCCCCAGCCCGGGGCTCTCACTGCCTGGCAGGCGCTCCTGGAGAGCACCGCTCCTGGGAACTTGATTGATGCTGAGAACGTAGCTGTCACGGCCAAACGATGACGTTTTCCATCACATTTTAATTGCATATTGAAGGAACAAAATGCTTTTCGGGCAGTGAGATTTATTTTTTCATTACCAGCCTGAGCTGCAATCTTAACTGGAAAAAAAAATCTATCGCTCCTGCAGAAAGCGGGGGAAAACAGCATGCCATCACTCAGCATCATGCTGGGTGTCCCCCCATGGCACCCTGGGGGCAGGGAGATGGGGGGAACCCAGCCCCACATGTAACACCCTGGGAACTCCCAAGGGGTACTTGGTGCCCCATATGTGCCTGGTTGTCCCTTCCAACACCTTTTTGGGGTGTTTTTCCCAGCCACTGCAACATGCTCTGGTGGTGTTCATCTCCCTCCCCAGCGGCTCTGGCACCTTTCCCTGTACTGTGACGAGACTGAGCGCCCCATGGGGCCCTCATCAACCACCAGCCCTCCCCTTCCTACCCTTCACGCTGGGGGGCTGGCAGCCCCAGTGCCCCCAGTGGAGCGGTGGGACTTACATGGCACTGGGACTCACATGGCAGAGAACGGTGAATGGGCCATCAAACACCGCCCCGCTCGGAAGATCATCAATTCGGAGCAATTCACCCCAGATGACATCCAGTACCAGCAGGTCATCTTCTACCTCATCATCCAGCGCAAGCCGCTCTTCTACGTCATCAACATCATCGTGCCCTGTGTCCTCATCTCCGCCATGGCCGTGCTGGTCTACTTTCTGCCTGCCAAAGGTACACACTGGTGCCATGCCCATGGGGAGGACAGGGATGGGAAAGGGGTGCAGCGATGAGTGAGAAAGGGATCATTGTCCGCTCTGTGCTTAGGGACCAGCAGTGCCACCTCTCACTCACTCCTGTGATATTTGGGGTGTGTGAATTTCCAGGTACCCCAAGGCTAAAGCCTTATGGTAGGGCTTGGCCAGTTCAGCCTTGGGGTGGGGGCTTTTTGCCAAAGGAGGGCAATGCTAACAACACTGCCCTGTGTTGACCTTTGCCTCCCTGTCTCCTCGGCAGCGGGTGGGCAGAAATGCACCGTCTCCATCAATGTCCTCCTGGCCCAGACCGTCTTCCTCTTTCTCATTGCCCAGAAGGTGCCTGAGACCTCCCAGGCTGTGCCTCTCATCGGGAAGTAAGTGATACACAGGGACAGGGGTGCCAGCCCTGCTGTCACACAGTGCCAGCAGGGTCTCTGGGTACAGAAACATTCCCCAGCCCAGGCAGGGCTGGATCAGGACTACCGCACGCCCATGTCCCACCACCAGTCCCCAGCTTCCAGCCCAAGAGGGCACTTACAGGCCTAGCAGCCCCACATGAGGCCCCGTGCCCCCTCCCCAGGTACCTGACCTTCCTCATGGTGGTGACGGTGGTGATCGTGGTTAATGCTGTTGTCGTCCTCAACATCTCACTGAGAACACCCAACACTCATTCCATGCCTGAGAGAGTGCGCCAGGTACCTACCTCATAGACACGAGCAATGGGTTGGGTGTCTGGGGACTGAGGCGATGTCCATTGCAGGGTGGGGTGGCAGGCATGCCTTCATCTGGGTTCCTGGCACAAAGAGGTGTCCACAAGGGACCACACTGTACCACCAAACCCCTCAAAGCCACTCTGAATGCTGGGGAGCTGCAGGAGCCAACAGCCCCAGCACCCTATGGGGATGCTCCAGGCAATGCAGGGGCACCTGATCCCACCCACTGGGTGTCCTGGGTGGTGGTGGAGAGGGGTTGTGTCCCTGACAGTGATGCTGTGCCTAGGTGTGCTTGCACCTCCTACCCCGCTACCTGGGCATGCATATGCCCAAGGAGACACCGGGGCCACCACGAGCTGCTCGGAGACGCAGCTCCCTGGGGCTCATTGTGAAAGCTGACGAGTACATGCTCTGGAAAGCCCGGACTGAGCTGCTCTTTGAGAAGCAGAAGGAGAGGGACGGGCTGATGAAAACTGTGCTGGAGAAGATCGGTGAGTGTCCCCGGGAGCTTGGCACCTCCCTGCAAGGCTGGGTGATATGCCAAGCACTCACTGGTGCCTGCTGTGCTGGCTCCGCTGCCCCTAGGACGTGGCCTGGAGAGCGGCAGTGCCCAGGACTTCTGCCAGAGCCTCGAGGAGGCAGGCCCCGAGATCCGCGCCTGCGTGGATGCCTGCAACCACATCGCCAACGCCACACGGGAGCAGAATGACTTCAGCAGTGTGAGTCAGGGTTGGGGGGAGAGGGACACTGCTGGAGGGCAGCAGGGGCAGCTCTCACCCCCCTCTCTGTGCCACCGACAGGAGAGTGAAGAGTGGATCCTGGTGGGACGGGTGATCGATCGTGTCTGCTTCTTCATCATGGCCTCCCTCTTCGTGTGTGGCACCGTCGGCATCTTCCTCATGGCTCACTTCAACCAGGCACCCGCCCTGCCCTTCCCC